AAAACTCACAGCGATCTGCGCAATCGCAGATACCCCCACCTGCAACATAGAGCCTTTGGAGAATGGGGTTGCGTTACGTGCAGTGTGCACGCACGCAAGTTCTGCAAGCGTCAGCAATCAACCTACCCCTACCACCGATTGTTGGGCCTCTCCTTTGTTTGTTTTTGTTTGAGGGGGATGACGTGGTGATGTTGATGCAAGCATGCAAGATCGGTGATGACAACATGGGTGGCGTTGAGTCCACCGTTTCCCACTTGCGCATTCAGTGGCCGGGTTGCAGTTGCACCTGCAACACCACCGAAGATTGATGCAGAAGCAACGCACACAGCCACTGACTGACACGGTTGAAGAAGCAAGAAGGAAGGAAGGAAGGAAGGAAGGAAGGCAGCAAGGGTGAGGTTGCACTGCTGTCGCCAGCTTGCGTCTGCGGCCATTTTCTTCGTCTCCCTTGAGCAGTCAAGTTCTCACCACCATAGCCGTTGGTGCAGTGATCACAACCCACAGCAACCACAGCGCAACCACAGCAAGCAAGGCTAAGCTTACGGGCTTTCCTCTCCAGCTTCACCCACCCACCACCACCTGATCTCCGGTCTCGTTCCTCTCTCCATCTCCATCTTCCTCTCCCCCCTCCCTCGCTCCCTCCTCGCAAGCCAACCAACCAACCAACCAACCAAGACCATGGGCACCATCAGCGAAGCTATTGAGCGCTCCCATGTGCAGTGGGCCGATATGGGCCCCCGCGTCTGGTTCCTCGCCTCGTCCCCCGCGTCCACCGATCTCCAGCACACCGTTGTCCCCGCCAGCGCCCTCAGCATCCTTCGCCGCAGCAAGGACATTGTTCTTCTCCCAGGAAACCACGACTCCACCCGCGACTTTGTCGACTTTTGCAAGGAACTCCTCAACCTCGACGACAGCCAGGTGTCGTGTGATGTGCGTGTGCGAGAGCGTGTGTATGCGTGTGCGTGTGTGTGCATTTGCATTCATGTGCATGCGTGCGTTCATGTGCGTGTGTGCGTGGTGCGTGTGCGTGTGTATGTGTGATCACGTGACATGTTCGTGCCTCGATCGCACACAAGCAACATTCCACCGTATTCCCTGACCAACCCATTGCTATCTCACCCACCATCTGATCACCTCACCCACACACACTCACCCACACACACCCGCCAGGTCATCTACACGGAGGATGCGGGCCCGTTTATGGTGGAGAGCCACCACGGCGGCGCCGTCAAGTGCCTGGAAACGCTTTTGCAGCAGCAGACCAAGAGCGATGGCGAGACGTACATGCTCGTCCCTCGCAAGCTCACCGTGTCTACCAAGAAATGGCTGCCACGCCTGCAGGAAAAGGGATTGCTTGTCTTCGCCGAGGGCACACCCTCACTCAAGCACTCCTCGGCTGCCATCCTCTACCGCGCCGCCACCGACATGGACACCCCCTCGGTGCGTGTGTGTGTGTGTGTGTGTGTGTGTGTGTGTGTGTGTGTGTGTGTGTGTGTGTGTGTGTGTGTGTGTGTGTGTGTGCGTGTGTGTGTGTGTGTGTGTGTGTGTGTGTGTGTGTGTGTGTGTGTGTGTGTGTGTGCGTGTGTGTGTGTGTGTGTGTGTGTCTGGGTCTGTGCAAATGTGGCGCTCGCTGTGAAAGTGTGTTGCTTGCTGTGAAAGTGTGGCGCTCGCTGTGAAAGTGTGGTGCTTGCTGTCCATGCCCGCGAGGTCTGCAATGTACCGCCTTGCTACCCTTCGCCTTACTCGGTTCCTTCCACTCACGCTTCTCTTCTTCCACCCACCCTACAGCTGCTGGAGGAGGTGTGCCCGGGCGTGAAGGTGCCGGAGGGGTACGTGTGCACCAACATCGAAGAACTCCTTGACGCATACTCGCGCCTGGAGTCCAACACGCAGCGCGACAAGTGGACGGGCACGGTTGAGCTCATGCCCATCAAGGCCCTCGGCGGTGCCGGCCGCATCCGCGTCGGCTCCGAGCAGGAACTGCGGTGAGCCATGTGGTGACTGACTGAGTAGGAGGAAGCGGGGAGAGGAGAAGTGGACTTGGCCATGAGGGAGATGCCTGTGATTGTAATGTCAATGTTCATGCGTGCGTCTGTGCGTGTCTGTTCATAACGGTATTCATGACTGCTTGACCGAGCCCGTGTCAAACTCACACTCACACAAACTCACCCACTCATCATGCACACACACATCCAAACACTACCAGCATGTACGACTTCCCGCTTGGCGACGTGGTGATGAAGACGGCGGTGACGATCGACAGTAGCATGGACAACAGCCCCTGCACGGTGTACATCGGCTTCCTGCAAGGCAAGCTCCTGCCGCCCGTGGAGGTGCTCCGCAACTCCAACGCCTTCACCGTCGCCATTCGCTCCTGCCGGCTGGACCAGAAGCTGCAGACGAAGATGGTGGACTGGTGCACGGAGGTGCTGAAGAAGACGCGCCTCAACGCGCAGGGCGTCGGCACATTCGAGCTCCTCATCAACGACGGCGAGCCCGTCCTGCACAACGTCACCTCCGTACGTTATTGTTGCGTGTACGTGTGTGCGTGTGTGTGTGTACGTGTGTGCGTGTGTGCGTGTGCATGTGCATGTGCGTGTAATGTGAATGTGCTTGCGTGTACTGCGCGCGTGCGTGTGTGTCATGTGTGTGCAGTGTGTGCTTGTGGTTTGAGTGCTTGCGTGCGCACGTTTGCACATGTGTCACGATTGGGATACGCAGCTGCTGCTATTTCTTGTACCCAATCCCTGCTCACACCCCTTGACATGTGCTGCGCACTGGTCACACACGTCCTCAACACAACCACAAACAGGGCTTTGAGAACGAGCACTTTCCTCTCCTCTTTGCGCAGAAGTACGCGCCCACGTCCCGCTTTTACGCGTGGACGTTCACCCCGGCCCAGACCCTCGACGTGTGGACCTTCTGGTACCGCCTCTACGACTCGTGAGTAATGTAATGCAACGCTCGCAACCACCAGCGCGCGACCTCCCATGTGTGAGCGTCCCCGATTTTTCTCCCCCCCCCCCTTGTCTCTTGGCTCTCCTGTTCTTGCACTGCGCCAAAGTACACACTCTCCCCTCCCCCTCCTCCTCTTTTCGTCCAACAGAAAAGGGAAATGATTTATAAAC